TTTCCAAAAGTCTCCATCATAATCAGAGAAAAATAAAATAAAATCTTAAAAAGTCAGGAATTAGAGTAATTGGGAGTGGATAGAAAGGTATTGACTTTACTCAGTTGAGTTATTTTGTTTTTTGAACAGAAGCTTCAGGAGTGTATTTAGATTGAAAAGACTATGCAAATGGATTGTCAAATTGTTGGGCATAGAAATTTATGAAATTTCCTCCTACTTTGAATGAGATCTGCTATAATCACAAATACTTTGTTTGAATGGATTTTCTCTTCTTTTCTGTACTTTGTTGTTGTTGTTGTTGCTTTTAATGTGTGTATGAGGGTTGGAAAATCAAAAGGCCACAATTCACATCTGTATGTGAACATCCTAATACAAAGCCGGAAGCATGGGTAGTTTTGTGATAAAATCTGTAACTTGTGCTACTCTCTGAAAGGAATTGTCTAGAACAAGAAAGAACCATACAAATTTTAGCCCCAAGAAAAATTCATATAAATTTCAAGAAAGGCATTTGATTTTTTTTTAATACGTCATTGAGTGACTGGGTTAATTTTATTCATTCACTGATTCCAAACATGTACTGGGTACTGACTATGTGCCAGAGACTCTTCTATGTGTTACTTATACCAACGTCTGGATATAAGAGGCTCTGTGGCCTTCAAACAGGACACTTGGTGGCACAGTGGTGAAAGTGCTCGGCTGCTAACCAAATGGTCCACAGTTCCAAACCACCATCCACTCTACTGGAGACAGGGCAGTCTGCTTCCATAAAGGTTTACAGCCTTGGAAACCCTACACAGTGATTGTACTGTGTTCAACAGGGTCACTCTGAGTCAGAACTGACTCTAAAACAATGGTTTTGGTGGCCTCCAACTGATACTTGTGATACAAATAAATAAACCATTTTATGAAAAAGAAATGCTTACAGTGGAAGCAAATAAACCACAGATAATTTTGTTCAAGTTTCCAGTTATTCAGATACACTGATTTTCTGCACTCAATCTTAAATCAGCATATAGCCAAGCAAGAAATATTGTTGTTATGTTCTAACAAGTAAAAACAGTGTGAATGAAAATAGTGTCTCTTGAAGTCACATACAAAATCAATATGTGTCTTCTCTATCCCCATTTATTTCACCTTTAAACTCATTTTTCCCCGTATGAAATTACAAATCCAGCAACACAAGGTTGATGCTCTGGGAGGGACAGCTGAAAAATGAACAAGATTGGAAAAAAAAAAAAAAAAGCCTCAAATTAACACTTTAATAATAATAAATTTTTCCAACCTTGGAGAGAAAATTTACTTTTTGTTTATTACATAAACTTGGAACTTATTAAAAATGTATGGAAACTGTCAAAAGTATCTATAAATTAAAATAAAATGTTTTCCTATCAGTTAAAACAAATGGGAGTATTATTGTTCCTATGTTAGACATAGTATTAGAATAAAGCAAAGTTATTCATATTTTATCAGTATTCAGCAAAAAATGTCAAAAGTCACAGGAGAATATAAACATGCTCTAAAATCTCAGTGACTACAGACATAATCCCAGTCTAAATTCAAGACACATAAACACACTCAGTTACTCTGAGATTTGTTTTGTGACGAGTCATACTACATTGCTTCTAGACTATCAGCTAGATAGAAAGGGATTTTTGCCTGATTTACTCTGTATCTGTCATACCATGTGTGGCACATGTTAGATGGTCAACAAACAGTTGCAGAAAAAATAAATGAGAGCAACACTTACTTTGATCTTTGTCCATCTTTCTCACTTTATCTCACTATGCAGTATCTCTGAAGTGCTACTAAATTTCCTTGCCAGCACTAAAGGAAAGAAACAAAATAACTCACTGCCAAGGAGTCAATTCTGATTCATAGAGACCCCCATTGGGTTTCCAAATCTGTAAATCTTTACAGAAGCAGACTGACTGCCTCATCTTTCTTCCACCAAGCAAGTAGTGGGTTCAAATCACAAACCTTTTGGTTAGCAGTCAAATGCCTTAACCACTATACCACCAATGCTCCTTGCCAGTACTAAAAGCAACTGTAATATATGCATGGCCTTTATGAAGTTGGAAGAGCTCTGTCTCTGGATAAAGGAAATTGTGGTCTGTTGAAAAGGAGAATCCAATCTAAGGTGACTTCTAGTTTGTGATGAAAGGGTTGTAAAGAAGAAGTGATTTTTTTCACTGTGCCATTCCAAAACACATGTGTATCAGCATAAGAACATGAATAATATCCATTGGTTTTCCATTTTAAAAACCAACCTATGGGAAGGCTTAATAATGGTTATGGGGTACAATGTAGTATTATTAACCTCCACCATAACGATATGAAACTACCACTTCAATAGGTCAAAACAGTTGAGTATTTTATATGTTTTAATCTGCTTAAAATAAAGGTATAGCTGACAGAGTCTGGGAGGTGGGGAGGGGGAATGACAGGGCAGGAAAGGGTGAAGGAAAGGTGAGAGAACTAACAACTGAGTTTTGTAAAAAGAGAACTTAGAAAAATACTGTCTATAGTTGGCAGAACAATAAATGGAGATTCAAGTATGCTTTTTGAAGTACAGAGGTGATCTAACCTTGGAGAAACTAAAAATAGCATGTATATTCAAATGAGGGGTGAAAGGGAGGTAGAAGATGGCATAAATAAAAGTGTAGGATAAAGTAAATCCTTATCCACTATAGCAGGATATCAGTAGGCAATGTTCAAATAACACAATTGCAGTCAGGGTATATTATTTAGGGATATAAGGGTAACTCCCAAAAGAACTAAACAAGGACATGATTAAATATGGGATCACAACTAGAGTTGTAAAGCCCTGGAGCAAGGGCTTATAGATTTTCCTTATAGCCCTTCAGTAGCCTTTGATTCATTTTAGCTATGTTTATGTTTCCTTTTGATATAAATACAAAGTAACAAAAATGCCTAACTCATTAATTATATTAAGTGTCTAATGAGATCGAGCACAAAAAGGACTCACAGTGTCTGGTATAAAGGAAGTGTTAAGAAATGATGGCCTTTGCTTTTTATTTTAAGTCATTTTCAAACTTGAAAAATTTAGACAATTTGCTTTTGAAAAGGATTTTCATTGATACACTGATCCTATAAAAATGCATCCTATTGTGTGAAAACAAAGAAAAATGGATGCAGTCTTCTTGTTGTTGTCGTTAAGTGCTGTCGAGTCGTTTCTGACTCATAGCGACCCCATGCACAGCAGAACGAAACACTGCCTGATCCCGCGCCAGCCCCACAATCCCTGCTATACTTGATCCCATCATCGCAGCCACTGTTTCAATCCATCTCGTTGAAGGCCTCCCCCTCTTTCATCGACCCTCCACCCTACCAAGCATGACATCCTTCTCCAGGGAATGGTCCCTTCTTACAACACGACCAAAATAGGTGAGACGAAGTCTGGCCATTCTTGCTTCCAAGGAGCATTCTGGCTGCACTTCCTCCAGGACAGATCTGTTAGTTCTTTTAGTAGTCCATGGTACTTTCAGCATTCTCCGCCAGCACCACAACTCAAAAGCATCAACTCTTCTTCGGTCTTCCTTATTCATTGTCCAGCTCTCACATGCATACCAGGCGATTGGAAATATCATGGCTTGTGTCAGGCGCACCTTAGTCCTCAAGGAGATATCCTTGCTCCTCAGCACTTGAAACAGTTCCTTCGCAGTTGACTTTCCCAATGCTACACGTCGTCTAATGTCCTGACTGCTGCTTCCATTGGCATCGATTGTAGAACCAAGCAATGTGAATTCCTTGACAACCTCATTCTTCTCTCCATTTATTGTGATGCTGCTCATTGGTCCAGTTGTGAGGATTTTTGTTTTCTTTATGTTGAGATGTAATCCATACTGCAGACTGTATTCTTCAACCTTCATCAGTAGGTGCCTTAAGTCATCCTCACTTTCAGCAAGCAAAGTTGTATCGTCTGCATATCTCAGGTTGTTAATGATTCTTCCTCCAATCCTGATACCACGTTTTTCTTCATCTAGTCCAGCTTCTCGGATTATTTGCTCAGCATATAGATTGAATAAGTGTGGAGACAGAATACACCCTGACACACTCCCTTCTTGATTTTAAACCATGTAGTGTCCCCTTGTTCTGTTCGAACGACAGCCTCCTGCTCAAGGTACAGATTCCTCATGAGTACAATAAAGTGCTCAGGGATTCCCATTCTTCTCAATGTTATCCATAATTTGTCATGATCCACACAATCAAATGCCTTTGCATAGTCAATAAAACACAAGTAAACATCTTTCTGGTATTCCCTGCCTTGAGCCAAGATCCATCTGACAACAGCTATGATATCCCTTGTTCCACGTCCTCTTCTGAATCCGGCTTGAACCTCTGGAAGTTCTCTGTCAATATACTGCTGCAAAGGTTTCTGAATTATCTTCATAAGATCTTACTTGCATGTGATATTAATGATATTGTTCTATAATTTCCACATTCTGTGGGATCACCTTTCTTTGGAATGGGCACAAATATGGATCTCTTCCAGTCAGTTGGCCAGGTAGCTGTCCTCCAAATCTCTTGGCATAACTGAGTGAGTGATGCAGTCTTAAGCTGTGTTATATTCGCTACAGAATTTAAAAGGTATGTTTAAGTACTACAGAATAAGAACAATAACTATCTTCCCCTATGAGTTTTCACTTTAGATTAATGTAAAAATCTGCTAAATTATTACTTAGAAAATCAACCTCTTTGTCCTCCTGTTTATGTATTATTTATTCAGAAGAATTTTAGAACTAGGACTGTTTTCAGGTCTTCTACAAGACAACATGTTAAAAAGAATGATTACATTAGACTAAGCTGAATCTAATTATTAAAAAAAAAACTGAAATAATGAAAAACATTTTCCACTGAAATATACCTTTTGAAATTAAATAAGGAAATTATCACTTTCTTGTGGGAAATGTAGGGTTAATTCTGCCTGGATTTTCCTCCCTCTTCTCAGAGGCAGACTGAACTAGAGCTGACCCACTTACCACAAACTGGATGAGAGGATCCAACCAGAAGGAAAATACAACCTTTGGAAATCTCTCCTCTGGCTTTTTCGGAAAGTCTCTTGCATGCAGATCTGGTAGACTGAGTGTCTGACACATCTCTCCCCTCCCCACACCCAGCACACGCAGCTGATGGGGGCCAATTCCTGTAAGTCAAAGCTTGACTTCCAAAAAAAAAAAAGTCACTCAAGAAAACAAAGCAGTTTAGGTCAACCTAAAGGCAGTCCTAAATTCATACACATAGCAATTAGCCACTGTTCTTTTGTGACTATAATTCAGATCTTTAATTAACAAGAGGGTAAGTTCTAAACCTACTCAAAGTAAGGAAAAAATGAAAGATGAATTTGTTAACTAACTTGTGCATGACTTTTTATCTCTGGAAACAGTCCAAGTAGGAAGGGTGATGAGAATAAAAATCAAAACAATAAATAAAATTAAAAGTTCACCAGGAAGTAAGTCCAGCCACACAGAATAAAATGGTGTGGGAGGGGAGGAGGGAGGAGGGAAGAGGAGGTGTGACAATCAGTAGCTTTATTTATTTGAGAAGGCAGAAGCTGCTTAGGGCCAAATCCCTGTTTTGTGTGAAAACTCTCCCCAGCAGGTGGAGATGGGATTTGACAGAATAGTGATTAGAGGGCCTGGGTGGCTGGCCGACCAGCTGAGAGGGAACAGGCACTAGGGGTCATTAGAGCCAGGATTAGCCTTCCACTAAAATAATGTCACCACCTTAACTGCATTCATTATTTTAATCACCTAGGCATGTGAAAGGAGTTCTGGTGGTTCAGTGCCTAAGGCATTTGACTACTACCCGCTAGCTCCTCTGCCAAGGAAGATGGGATGGAAGGAAGATGGTCCAGTTTACTTCTGTAAAGATTTGTTGTTGTTGTTGCTATGTGCCATCAAGTCAGACCCGACTCATAGCGACCCCTCCTTGGGTTTCCTAGGCAGTATAACTACGGAAGTAGATTGCCCTATCTTCCTTCCTAGGAGTGGCTGGTGGGTTTGAACCGCCAGCCTTCTGGTTAGCAGTCAAGTGCCTTAGCCACTACGCTACCAGTTGTTGTTGTTGTTGTTGTTATGTGCCATCGAGTCAGCCCCGACTCATAGCGACCCCTCCTTGGGTTTCCGAGGCAGTATCACTACGGAAATAGGATTGCCCAACCTTCCTTCCGAGGAATGGCTGGTGGGTTTGAACCGCCAGAGCTCCCCTGTAAAGATTTACTGCCCTGGAAACCCAAAGGGGGTTGTTATAAGTTAGAATCTCAGTGGCAGTGTGTTTTGTTGTTGTTATTTTTCGGGTATATAAACTCATATAATACTCAAAACTCATGAGAAAGTTCTGGGTTAGAGTCCTATTGATACTAGATTCAGACTTTTTGTCACCACACTGGGGTGGGGTAATTTGACCTGATTTCATTAATCTACTCAATTTTGTTAGGTAGATTGATAAAGTGTAATTGTTTCTGTTGGTATTAGGTGCTGTCAAGTTGGTTCCAACTCATAGGGACCCCACACACAACAAATGAAACACTGCCTGGTACCACTCCATCCTCACAATCCTTGCTATTTTTAAGCCCATTGTTGCAGTCACTGTGTCCATCTGTCTCATTGAGAGTCTCTCTTTCACTGACCTCTACTTTACCAAGCATAATGTTCTTTTCCAGGGATGTTTCCCCCTGAGAGCTTGTCCAAAGTAAATGACATGAAGTTTCATCACCCTCACTTCCAAGGAGCATTCTGGCTGTTCTTCTTCCAAGAAAGATTTGTTCAATATTCCGGCAGCCCATGATACATTTAATACTCTTCACAACATAATAATTCAAATATGTCAATACATCTTTGGTCTTCCTTATTTATTGTCCACCTTTCACATGTACATGAGGTGCTTGAAAATGCCATGGCTTGGGTCAGGCACACATTAGTCTTCAAACTGACATCTTTTTTTTTTTTTTTTTTATAAAACTTTAAAGAGGACTTTTACACTAGATTCTCCTAATACAATAGGGCATATGATTTCTTGACTGCTGCTTCCACGGGCCCTGTTTCATTTGTAAAATGAAATCATTGATAACTTCAATCTTTTTTCCATTCATCTTGATGTTGCTTATTAGTCCAATTGTATAGATTTCTGTTTTATGTTGAGGTGTAATCTATACTGAAGGCTGGAATCTTTGATCATTAGTAAGTTCTTCAAGTCTTCTTCACTTTCAGCATACAACGTTGTATCATCTGCGTATCACAGTGTTACTGAGTTTTCCTCCAATCCTGATGCCAATATGTAGACTCTGTATGTGTGTGTTGTTGTTGTTATATGCCATCGAGTTGGACCAGACTCATAGCGACCCCCCCTTGGGTTTCGGAGGCAGTATCACTACGGAAGTAGATTGCCCTATCTTCCTTCCGAGGAGTGGCTAGTGGGTTTGAACCACCAGCCTTCTGGTTAGCAGTCAAGTGCCTTAGGCACTACGCTACCAGAGCTCCGACTTTATATATGTAATGAAGTTTAATATTATCATTTAAGTGCATCAAATTGGATTATTGGTCAAGAATATTGAATATACAATAGACTGCCAGAAGAATGGACAAATCTGTCTTGAATAAAGTACAGCTGGTATGCTCCTTAGAAGAATAAGTGGTGAGACTTTGTCTCACATATTTTGGACATGTTATCAGAAGGGACCAGTTCCTAGAGGAGAACATCATGCTAGGTAAAAGAGACAGTCAACAAAAAAAAAGGAAGACCCTCAGTGAGATGGACTGACACAGTGGCTGCAACAATGCTGAAACATAGCAATGTTTGTGAGGATGGTGTAGGACTGGGCTGTTTCATTCTGTTGTGCAGAATGGGGTCATTACAAATCAGAACTCACTTAACAGCAGTTAACAATAATACTACTTATTTTGATTCTCTCTAGGGCTTCTCTAGTAGAAAATACTACAAGTGAGTGGCTTGAACAAACAGGGATTTATTCTCTTACAGTTTAGGAGGCTACAAGTCTGAGTTCAATGTGTCAGCTCTAAGGGCTGGGTGAAAGCCCCTCGACTTTGGGCTTCAGCTCTGACTCTTATTCCCATTCCACTGAAGCTGGAGGTATCTCTTAGCTCAGGCAGCCGCTAGCTGCTGAGGCTAAAATACTCAAGGTTGACAAATAAAATGTCATAGCCCCAAGATTACCAAACAACATGGTAGGACACTAGTTCAAGTCCAGACAGTCCTAAAATCAGCAGGAAATATGGCAGGCTGCTGACTGAAGACTCGGCTACATGCAGGGCCCAAGCATGCCAAAAAGCTGCGAGACCTTTCTCAAAGCTTCTGCTTACATAATAGAAGCAGACCACATCCCTGAGGCAGCTCCTCAGCTGCTCCAGTAGATTCCATCAAATTCATCAATAAGAATATCTACATCTAGCTGCCTAGTCATTCAAAGCCAGGCCCAGCTAAGTTGACACACAACTTAATTACCATATTACTGTAAGGAACTCTGTAAGGTGCAGTGGTTAAAGCACTTGGCTCCTAGCCAAAAGATGATTGCTTCAAACCCATCAGCTGCTCGATGGGGGAAAGATGAGGCAGTCTGCTTCCAGAAAGATTACAGCCTTGGAAACCCTATGGAAGTAGTTCTCTGTGTCTCATAGGGTTAATAGGAATGAATTGACTCAATGGCAATGGGTAGTAGCAGTAATATTACTATAAAAAAATGAAGCAAAACTTAAAAAAAAAAATACAGTGTGGGTTATGAATTTTATATCTGGTTCCTGAAGTAATAAATAGCTATGTATAAAAGTTAGAAATTTGACATTTTTATTTCAGAATTATTCAGGCAGTCAAATACTCATGAAATATAAAGAATGAGTATATTTTTAAAAGTTCAAAGTCAGAAAAGGAATAAATGATTTTTTTTTTTTATGTGTACATTCCAGAATTCACTGTGGCTTACCTTTGAGCAAAAGCAATCCATAGCAGATGATAAAGAAGCAAGAAAAAGGTCTTGTCTCTCCATTTCTGGGAATTGTAATATCACAGAAATTTCATTTTAGAAGGGTGCTCACTAATTAAGGCCTCAACTTCCACCCCAAAGGAGGAATCCCGTATAGCCTTATGCTTGGATCTTTTTATGGAGCTCATATTTGTCATATATCAGAGAGGCTTTGGTATAAGACATATTATTTGCTCAGTCACATAGGGACAGTGAGATCTAAGAAAACTAATAAAGCTGCAGAGGTTTCTCCAAAGGGTGCAACCAAGTGCTCCAAGCATAGAAAGGGGACAGGTAACAGGGAATTCAAGCATAGATACGTAGAAGCCAACCCTCCGGCAGATCACCAAAATCACACCTAAAACTGAACCAGTTGACTGCTTGCAGTTGAGTCAACTCTGACTCATGATGATCCCATGAATATCAGAGTGGAACTGTGCTCTGTAGGGTTTTACATGGCTGATTTTTTAAAGAAGATTTCCAGGCTTTTCTTCTGAGGCACCACTAACTAACTCATTGCCGTTGAGTCGGATCCTACTCATAGCAACTCCTCCTTGGGCTTCCAAAGCAGTATCACTATGGAAATAGATTGCCCAACCTTCCGTCCGAGGAGTGGCTGGGGGATTTGAACCTCCAGCCTTCTGGTTAGCAGTCAAATGCCTTAGGCACTATGCCACCAGAGCTCTCAACTTTTCAGTTAGTAGCCGAATGTGTTAACCATTTGTACCACCCAGGGATTCCTGAAGTTGAACAAGTTTAAGATAGAATCTTGTTGCATGAGGAATTTTGGAACACCTATGAAAAGGAACTTGTGTTCGTATTAGGTAATTTTGAGGTAGGTTCAAGGAGGCAAGGTGTATGTCTGAATGGAATGTTGTCAGAAAATTGAAGTAATTCTATAACTGACTGTTTTATCTTTGAGAAGGGAAGATTAGAGCAAGGCTAAAGCCATAATTTGTCAAGAAGCAGCAGCCATTCTTATTAGTCAGCATGGGGGGTGTTTGTGGTCATTTCTATGGCTTAGACAATTTTCATGCTTTTATAAATGTTCACAGGTAAT